GAAGGAGAAGCAACTGGAAAAGGAGCTAGTTCTGAAGCAGCTCAAGAAAATTCAAGCCGATATCTCTATCTAGGGGCTCCTTATGGCTTCACGGGTGCATCGACAGGCAGTATTTTCGGCAATAGATAAGGCTAAATTGTCCATTGATACTACGCCCGAGCAATTTGTGGGTCTAGTCTTCTTGAGTGGTGCCAAGCCAATGCTCACTTTCTTTGACAAAGAGTTACTGCTTGAAGGTCTAGGTGAGCCCGTCTGAGCAAGAGATTGAATTCCACATACTAGATATGCCGGCTACCTTTAACCTGCTGTTAGGGAGGCCTTGGTTACATAACGTGAAGGCTATCACCTCCACCTTTCATCAGATGTTGAAGTATCCTCATGAGGGAGGAGTAGCAATCGTTTTTGGGAATTCATGCATCCATCCACCTCCAGAGGTGACTATGCCAGTACTAGAGATCAATCATGGCGAGGAGGATGTATTCCTCTGGGGATTCACTCTGGTTAAAGCTCGAGTAGTGCAAACAATTCTGGCCTCGGACGAAGGCATGTATGTCAGTGCCCAATCCATCTACTTCATGAACAAACTGCGGCACATTCTGGGATTGGGGCTTGGACAGAGTGGGCAAAATGGTGTTACAGCACTGACAGAGGTGCCACACAAACTGCATGCCTTTGGATTGGGTTATGTACCCACCAAAGAGGGCTGGATAAGAAAAGGGAAGAAATGAAGGACAGAGCCAAGGCCAAGAGAGCTGGGAAGCATTATGAGCTCGTCCGCAGGCCAATCCAGGGGATGTTGAATGGCTGTTTTGTTTGAGAGTGAGAGGATTTCCCTTTTTGTGGCTTTCTTGAGCCTTGGGTAAATTCCTCGAAAAAGTGTGTCCCCGAATTTGAGATCTTCTTTGATCTTAAGTTGCAGGACAGTGATGAGGAAAGGGCTAAACAAAGCATCAAAGCTAGCCAGAGCACGGAAGATGACTCAGGCAACAACGAGCCTAAAGTAGGGGCAGCACTGGCCAATCTTCTAATAGATCTCGCAACTAACCTGTGGAACTTGGGGGATAACTTTATTGTCTCCATGATCGGGGAAGAACTGGGTGTGGACCTAACCGGTGGTATTTTATGCATCGAGCACACCATGTCTTACTTGGCAACTAGAGAAAGGCTATCTCTCCAGTTCTAAATCGAGTGACGAGCTAGAATCTGATTCCACCAGGTTTGTGGAGTTAGAATTAGATTCAAATCAGTCTAAGGAGTCTGAGTCTGGCATTCCTAGGAGTGGTAACCCGGATGCCAAGGTCCTGTTGAGGTCCTCTTTTTCTTTCTTTTTTGAGTCGATTGTAACCGAAGAGCCGGAACTTATGAATGAAAATGCTACAGATTTTGTGTATTTCTCTATGCTGCTGATTTATTGCATTGACCAAAATTTTTAGAATTTTAATGAAAACAAAGAGGAAGAAATTCCTCTGGGTTTGAAAAGCTTGATTAATCAAGAGGAGGAGAGGCGTGCTAAGCCCTATATTGATTAAATCATTGCCATTAATATGGGTATTGAGAAGGATCCGCGATTTGTCCAGATCGGGTCCACGTTGTATTTAGAGGAATGCAAGCATTTAATTGCTTTATTAAAAGATTTCAAAGATGTTTTCGTGTGGTCTTATGAAGACATAATATAGGACTCAATTCATTGATCTAGATGCTTCTTAACACATAAGCACTCATATGATAATGACATTAAAGTGAAGATAATTTGTTTTGAAATAGAGACTTCTGGAAGTCCATGTAATTGGAAAATCATATTGGCAAGTGAAGACTACATCTCCAAAGAAATATTGTGTGCGACCTAACATAGGCATCATCAAACCGAAGTCAAAATGTGATTTCATGGGTATATGCATACACACTCCATTTTCTTTCTTTTTCAGAATTTTATTTTTGTGTTTCTATTACACATGAAATTGTGAATAGAACCACCTTTTTGCTTAAGTTAAATACTTTTCCCGAGGCTTTGTTATGTAAAGTCATCATTAATGTGTTTCTAGAACACAGAAATCCATACTCAAATTAAGAATTTTGATTATGTAAAAGAGAACACAAAATCAACATGCAACTGATGGAAACTCCATCTTCTCTCATCTATCAAACTCAACTAAAGTGAAAGAAATATTTAATGATATCAAACCCACACTGTTTTTGATAAACATATAAACAACAAGCATGCACTAATTAATCTTCCATTACTAACCAATATAAAAGAATATAGAAAATAAACTTACAATTGTAGAAAGCGTATAACTGAACCAGGTGCAACCCATAACAAATACTGAAAAATTGACACAATCAAGTAAAATATTTAAACATATATCAAAAAGAAGAATAAAAGCCACATCTTCCAAAACCATTACAGAGAGTTTCTAGAACAAAATTGAGGATGAACTTACCCCATGTTTTTTAAACAAAATATATACATTTGTTGTTTACAAAATATATACATTTGTTGTTTACAAAACTATATTGCCCTATGAAGCCCCAAAACCCTGTTTCATTTCGATAAAATAGTAAAACATTGCTTTTGCAACTTGCTCTGTTGCTCTGGTTATTGAAAATTTGATCTGGGTTTGAGTTAGATCTTGAATTTTCACATTCTTTGTTGGTGAAATCAAATGGGGGAGCGTTCCAAGTCGAAAGGACTATGCGGGTGGTTCCTTGTCTTAGTTTTAGTGGCTTGCATTGTGATTGCAGTTGTTCTTACCGTGAAAAGAAGACTAACAAACACTCTCTGCCTCAGTTGGGTCCTGTTCCTGGGCCTCATGGTGTTGTTGATAGGCAATACGGCAATGCTCTCAATCTTGTAATGCAGTTCTTTGATGTCCAAAAATGTAATTTTTCTCATCCTCTTCTTCTCTCTCCACTATTTGTTCTGTTTCATAGATTCTACAATGTGGGTTTTGTTCCATTCCAGATCTAAATTCTGTACCTCAATTTTTATTTTATTTTTATTTTTTTGGGTAAAATAGTTTCAAATTGTTTTGCCTTTGAACTCTTTATTAGAATATTGTAGACAGATTTTATGGATTTCAGCTTCTCTTTGTGTGGTTTTTTTGTTGTAATGTCTGTAGATACATCAATGTAGGTGTATAGTTCATAACTTGTCTTTTGGTTATTAATTAGCTATTCATGGTGATGACTCTATTTTTGTGTCATTTGATGCTTTTCTTAGTATTTATCTGTATCTACCAAGAGCCACACTAACTGACCTGGAATGAGTACTTGTTTAAGACTTTTTAAGTTAATATGAAGATGGTAGTTATTTATTTATTTATACTTAAGATTGGGGAGATGGTTGCCATTTCATTTTAAATGGGATATTTGTATGATGTTTTTTTTGGTAAGAAAAAAGAACAAACTAAGACACTGCTCCTCAAGGGGAGCCGCAATGAGCTGAATCCCAAATCAGCAAAGGTCTAACCGACCGGGGAGTGTTCTGGACAAATTGTCTTCTATAGAATTTGATTGTGGTTGCAAATGTTATTTTGGACTTCTTGTTTTTTCAATTGTCTTGTATAGATTTTGATTGTGGGTACAAACGCAATTTTGATCTTGTAGCTGGTAAGTTGGTAAATAATAACATATCTTGGAGAGGGGATTCGGCAGTTGATGATGGCAGTGACGCAAAGTTGGATCTTTTAAAAGGAATGTATGACGTAGGAGATCATATGAAGTTTGGATTTCCAATGGCTTTTACTGCCACAGTGTTGTCATGGGCAATCCTCGAATATGGGGATCAGATGCAAACGGTTAATCAGTTCAAACCTGCTCAAGACTCACTTAAGTGGATCACGGACTACCTTATTAATGCTCATGCTTCAGACAATGTGCTTTATATTCATGTCTCTCTAATCTTTGATTCCTATAAATTGCTCTTATCTATTTGTGAGCCTGCATGTGCACTTGTTTATGGTCATCTTTTGTCCTTCTTCCTTATTACCTGTCACATTGCTACATTTTAAAGCATTTTCATGATTTTTGAAATATCTAGTGCAATATGTTGGCCATGATTAGGTGCAGTCAAGGTTAAATTTATTTGTCTATTTTTGGGAATGGCTATGTCAAATTTTCTGAAATGTTAACACGATAAGTAGTATTTTCATTTTTTTTTTCTTTAGAAGTATATGAAGAATCCTTGAAAGTATCTAGATATGTGTTTTAGCTTCTCTTGTGTCAAAATAGTAATAATTGAAATATGTTATCTTGGACATGAAATACTACAGTTTGAATACTTTTTTTCTTTTTTTGGGTGTGCTACAAATGGGTCATACTTAGTATATCCTGTTTGATAGAGTTTGCACAAGTGAATCAAATGGTCAAACATTGATGCATTTTGATTGTAAGAGTGAGTGCTATTTTTTTTGTTTTTGTTTTGTTTTTTTTTCTTCTTCTAATCACTGTTTTATTTCTGGAATAGGTGGGTGATCCAGATATCACTACTAAAAAAAACATTTTTTTCGGCCACTATAAACCGTCGCAAATAATAAAAAACAGTCGCAAAAGACTTTTTGCGACGGCAAAACAACGGTCGCAAATTATTTGTGACCACCTAAACTACTTATGGCGGCCGCTATTTTGCCGTTGCAAAAAATAAAGAAGAATAGGTGGGTGATCCAGATATCACTACTAAAAAAAACACTTTTTGTGACCGCTATAAACCGTGGGTGATCCAGATATCACTACTAAAAAAAACACTTTTTGCGACCGCTATAAACCGTCGCAAATAACAAAAAACAGTCGCAAAAGACTTTTTGCGACGGCAAAACAACGGTTGCAAATTATTTGTGACCACCTAAACTACTTATGGCAACCGCTATTTTGCCGTTGCAAAAAACAAAGAAAAACACTAATATGATCTTTAGCGACCATCTTGTTACCGTCGCAAAATATAAAAATAAAAATAAAAACAAATAAATAAATAAATAAAAGTGTAGCGTTAAGCACTCTAGGAATAACAATGACAAGAATTCAGACAGTATAGCATTATAGTTTGATTGAACATTCTATTTGAGTCTCAAAATTTGAGCCATATGTAAAAGTTATTACAACTAAAAGCTTGGGAAAAGTTCTTTTATGAAAAAAATACAACCCAGAACTGGCCAATCTTCTTATCAATTTTCTTGCTCGGGTGTTTCTCCACTCTATCAATGAACTGGCATAACACCTTGTACTCCCCAGTGCAAGAAATGAAAGCAATATGACGAGGGGAAAACCTCCCTCTCCACAATTGAAAAAGGTAAGCTTTTATACTGCATTGTCACATGATTCCGAACATAAAGAAATCATTTAGGATGTGAGCTACAAAACAGTGATAAACCCCCACAACTAGAGACCATTTGTCCAGAACAAGGTAACCAGAATTATATGGCATACCAAAATTAAGCTCAAGGTAATTTTGAAGTCTCCCTCATTAAGCTCAAGATAACCAGAATTATATGGTATACCAAACTTCTGGATATAATTTTTGACCAAGCCCTGCACACATATCTCCCACAGTTATGCAGAAACTCTGCACGAAGGAAAATAAGAATCTAAAAAAAGATTTCCCGGGAAGAAATGGAATGTCATTCTTCAGTTTCTTCAGTTTTGTCATTTTAGAAGAAGCAATCCTACAAAAATGTAGAGAATACTGTAAAATTTTGAAAAATGATGAGCAAAAATAAGACCAACAACATTGTTCATGCATCTATGGAATAAAAAATTAGAAGTCTGGACAAGAAGATATCTTTGGCACAAAAATGAAATACAGAAGGGAAACAAAAACATACAAATAAAAAATCTTAAACCAACTAACCAAACACAGTCCTTCACACAAATGCTATGAAAAGATTGAATCCGAAGACGATTCTCTTCATCAATGGGAGAAGCACATAATTCAAACAATCAAGCTCATACATAACACATACTGACCTTTCCTTAATTTGTAACTATTCATAAAGCAATCAACTTAACCTGTTTTTCAGAAAGTAACAAAATTGCTGGTTCAATCTACAGAAAAATGTTTCTGGTTTTCGCAACAGTTTAGGTATTCGATGAACAAGAGGCTCCTTCAAATCAAACCACAAAAGGAGAAATATTTCAGCCCATTGTCTATATTACTGCTTTAAACACACACCTAAGGCTAACTTAAGATATATAATGTAAGTATCCACCTGGAAGGATCTACCAAAATGCAACCAAAAATATTAGACACATAATCACATAGGTATTGAGGCACCCCTGACTGGGAATGCTCCAAAAGCACCATGCATACCCTTTATGCATATGCATGTTACTTGCTTTCTAGGTAAATGATGAATATGATTTAAAAAAAAGGGAAATTCCCAATAAGTTACTTTTTCCATAAAAGTACTATTGAATCCTATTAACATATGATTCAACCCTATCAACACAGTGTTGTTAATATGAGTTAGTGGTTTACTTTTATGGGAAAAGTAAGACTTTTTTGACAGTTTCCATTAAAAAAAAAAATGGAAGATCCTTGAGTATATATTGCAAAACAAGCAACAAAACCTCACTTTGCTGATTAACAATTACAAACATTTTTTTGTTTTTTTTGGGTACAGAGAGGGCTCACATGAGATTGACCCATATCCCCATGTCCTGCTTTAGCAAGGAGTTAATGGTCTCCAGAAACATCACCGGAAAGAGTTCTAGTTAATCCCAAAACATGTAATAGAATCTCATCTTGCTGACTGACAAGTCAAAACTTTTGAAGGAAAAAAAGTTAACAGATACGCCATCTATATAGCAAATAAATTAGTTGAAGACTTAATGACCTAACACTAAGAGATTCCCAAGTGCGAAGCCAGTGCAATGTAATAGTTCAATGATTAAGTTATCGAGTCAAAAGGATTTACTAAAAAAGTATAGAGCGCAAAGAAATTGCTAGATTAATACCCTAAATCAAATAAATAGCCAAACCCAACCCAACTAAGCTTTGTGTACCAATCAAGTGGGATCAACTAACCCTCAATTAAATAAATAAATAAAAAGACAACATGCCAAATTGAAGTACCATCCTAATGTGAAAAAGTTCACCCTATCTTAGCTTGAGTGGCATCTCCTGTCACCTCCAAAGCAGTATGGACAGGGTTCAAGTTCCGATAGGACACATGTCTTACTCATTTACTAGATAAATCAGTATATAATCATGCATGCCCTTTATACATATCACTTTGTTCAGATCTTGCCATATTTATTTCTATCCCAAGAAAAAGACCCATTCTCAAAACAGATACAAATTCACTGATACTTGAACAATATAAGGGATCCAAATTGAACAAACATCACGCACACATACATATAACAGAGAGAGATAGAGAGAGATTACCTAGAGATTGGACCTGATAAGAGAGGAAAAGAATGGAATGTACAAGGACAAGGAGAAGAAGATGATGTCTCTGAAGAAAACCCATTTGCAATTGAATCAGATTACAGTCTAAAGAAATATAGTGATATCCTTCAAGAACTTCATACACAACAAATATCATAAATACATGCAGAAATATAGTAGAGTGGCATACCTATTCATTTTCTTTTGAAGCTTGTTGCCCACTAGATGCATCTGACACCTACAATATGTTAGTATAATGTGTTAATAATTTCTATATGTATATATACAAATTGATAAAATGTAAAATTCATTAATTTGTAAGTATTGCACCTCTCTCAAGCTCATACTCCCAGCCTAATTTTGAAGTCTCCCTCATTAAGCTCAAGATAACCAGAATTATATGGTATACCAAACTTCTGGATATAATTTTTGACCAAGCCCTGCACACATATCTCCCACAGTTATGCAGAAACTCTGCACGAAGGAAAATCAGAATCTGAAAAAAGATTTCCCGGGAAGAAATGGAATGTCATTCTTCAGTTTCTTCAGTTTTGTCATTTTAGAAGAAGCAATCCTACAAAAATGTAGAGAATACTGTAAAATTTTGAAAAATGATGAGCAAAAATAAGACCAACAACATTGTTCATGCATCTATGGAATAAAAAATTAGAAGTCTGGACAAGAAGATATCTTTGGCACAAAAATGAAATACAGAAGGGAAAGAAAACATACAAATAAAAAATCTTAAACCAACTAACCAAACACAGTCCTTCACACAAATGCTATGAAAAGATTGAATCCGAAGATGGTTCTCTTCATCAATGGGAGAAGCACATAATTCAAACAATCAAGCTCATACACAACACATACTGACCTTTCCTTAATTTGTAACTATTCATAAAAGCAATCAACTTAACCTGTTTTTCAGAAAGTAACAAAATGGCTGGTTCAATCTACAGAAAAATGTTTCTGGTTTTCGCAACAGTTTAGGTATTCGATGAACAAGAGGCTCCTTCAAATCAAACCACGAAAGGAGAAATATTTCAGCCCATTGTCT